ACTAAGGTGGAAATTTCAAAACGCACATGCACAAAACACACATGCACAATATACTCAATGGGGCTTTGAAATCTTAATTCTCTTAATCAACATGCTCCAGGGGAAGAGGAAAGTAAGAGCTTGTAGCAGCAAACTGGATTTGGGTATATGATCACCAGAGCATCTTTTTCACCAAAATCTTTTGTCACATTTGGAAAGCTTGCTTACCGATACAGCTTTAAGAAATTGCCTGACTCTGAAGAACTGAAGCTTTTAGGGAAGTAGGCATGCACTGCTCAGTGTTTGGTAAATTGTACTCTTTCTCCTAAACTCTGCCACTTGCTGAATTTTCTCATCAGAGGTAGTTTTCTCTCCCAACCCATTTGTGAAATAGTCTAACACGGGGTGTGGCTTCCCCACAAAACGCTTTCTAATTAGTTTCTAAACATTAAATGATTATGGAAGTGCAATTCCCATTCCACTCAGGTGATGAAAAGCTTTACAGGAGTTCAATCTCACTTTGTAATTACAGAAATTAGCTTTCTAAGTTTAGATCACTGGGCTGTGCAAATGGGTTCATCTGCTGGAATGTGTTGCTCTGAAATGTGTGTCAGCCAAGCAGCACAGCACGGTCCCTATCTCTGCCTCCGCAACACTTGCCCGAGCAGGGAGGCCGGTTCCAGCACAGCAAGAGGAAAATAAAGTGTTATGGGTGGATTATAGGAAAGGCCTTATCTAAAAGCTCACTCATCTGTGATTGACTGTAGGGATATATTCTTCGCCGTGCAATAGGGAAGTTTAACCCCTAGCTACAGGATTATCCAAGTGGATGAAATTTTCACTCTTTCACTCAGTTTGTCCAGAATGGTATGTAAAACTGCAGCAAATGAATTTTAGAAGGTGGCTAATTTAGAGAAGCAAAACTACTTTTATAAAAATCTGAGGAGAAACAAAGGGCTTCTCTAGCCTCTTCACTTGCTGTGAAATGAGGTCGTCAAGCTTTATGAATTCTTTATGACTACAGATTCCACATTTCATCCAATCCTTTTCTGGTAGCCCTTTCTACTGGTTTATTGAAGGCTGACGCAGGATCAGGCCCCCACAATTATGCAACTGTCTTGATCTGCATTACAGCAGTAAACAGCAGTTTAGTCACTGACTTGAAAATGAGATGGATCAGGTCCCTGAAGGAAGAATTTTTCCAGGGGCACCATTCCAAGCTTACCTTCAGGTATCACAGATCTAAGGAAATCCTGTGGGATTGTTCACAGCCGTGATTCAATGAGTCACTGAGCTTCAAAAGGAAATTACAACTTTCCTAACACAAAGAATTGACTTCACGACACCTGACCCTTGTAAGCCAGGCGCTCCCTCTAAAGGCTGCGATCCTCGTCCCACTGAAGTCCTGAGCATTCTCCCAGTGGCTTCAACAAAGCGGGATCTAACTCTATATTAGGGAACTGATTCAGGCCCAAAGCAAAGTGCTGTCTGTAACGCCGGACCTTGGCACACTAGATGTTTATAACGGCTCCTAATGTGGATGTGATCTGATTATGTCAGAATAGGAAGATTAGCAGGAAGTAACTTTACGCAATGTAAAAAGCTGAGTGCCAGACATTGAAAAGTTCTTCACTGGCCTCAAAGGAAGACGTGTCGGCTCCGCACCTCATGAGATGTGGGCACACACACAAGCAGAGCACTGCAGGAGGAATTTTACATGCACGGGCCTCAGGCTACTCAAAGCAACTGCAATTCAGGCCCCCCGTGCACATGCAGCGATTTGTATCTTGCTGTATTTGCAGTGAAATGGGCACCTTAAAAGATCCTCAGGCTGCGTAATGCACCATGCTCCATTGGTTTTCAGCACTGCTGTGCAGTGGCTAAAGATCTGGCCTTGAGAGCTCAGTGAAGAAAAGCAGGAGATAGGACTTCAAGGGTGAAATTCTGGCCTTAATAAGCTAGGGGCATTTTGCTGCTGACTTCCATGAGGTTAAAATTTCTTTCAGGGCTGAGAGGGAGAGGGTTTGCAATGCGCTTCCACACGTGACGCGTGCTCCGCCTTGGTTTACCTATCAGTAACACTTTGTGTCTCAAGGCATTGGGAGGCTTAATTCATTAGTGCTTGCAAAGCATTTTAAGTTGTTGGACAAGTAATTCTGTTTAAGGGCAGCTACACTGCTGAGTCACAGGCACTGTGGGAACCAGAACTCTGGATTTCCTAAGCGCTGGAGTCAAACGGGTGGAGTAACCTTTTGCAGAAAGGCCAACTCCAGACCTGCCCTAAAGGTAGGGAGCATACCAGCAGCCGTCAGGGTATTTAAAGGCCCAGAGGAGCACATGTGTGGCACTTGTGAATAAGTAACATTTAAATGGGCTGCGGAAGCCAACCAACACCCACCGAAAAAAAAAAAAAGAGGCACTCGTTCTTGTATCACCAAACTGCAGCCACTTTGTGGATAAAACACAATGAAGGTTTACCAGCCTAAGAAAAGCTAATGACCCCAAGGAAGGAACAACTGATACTGCTAGAACTTCTGGGCTGAATGAGGCTGGAAGGAGCATTCGGCAGTCATGCCAAAATTGCTGGTATGTAATCTAAGTTTTGAACTCACAAATGAGAAGTGATCTGCAGGAGTCCAATGAAAGTATGAGCATGGTTCTAGTGTTAGGAGCACAAGTACCGCTGGCTTCCCTGCCTTAGACCTTCTGTAAGAGGGTAGACCTTACCACGGCCAAGAACAAGCATGTACTTTGCTTTTGCCATAGGAAATGAAAACAAAGGAGATAAAATTAGGTCAGAAATCTTGTTTTCCTCTATACCACCGACTCTTGGTGTATAAAATAGACATTCACACATCTACTGTGTTAGATCAGGGTAGAATAGGAGATAGGCACAGAAGAATAGCTGTTCTGGGTCAGACCAAACGTCATGTAGGTCAGGTTCCTGTCTCCAGCGCCTCAGGAAGAAAGGGACAGTGATGCAGTGACAGTTCCCAGCACACTCGCCCAACCTCTAGAAGAGAGGCTCAGGGACTTCCCAAAGCAGCGACAAAGTTAAGGCTGGTTTGTTTTTTGGTTTGGTTCTTTTTTTTGTTGTTGTTTTTTTGTTCAATGCCCTTTGACGTGTGGCTCTTCCTCTGGGAGCTAGCCTGAACATTTTTTGCTACTGTGCAAACTGTTGGGCTTCTCAGTGTCCTGTGGCAAGGAGCCCCTCAGGTAACCACCTGGCTATGTGCCTCTGGACCCTGCTCCTGAAAGGATGTGGCTGACAAACCCCAGAACTCACTTGGAAGCTGGGAAGCCAGGACATGTGTCTCCAGCGCCGGTAGCAGGCAAGCCTGACAGAGCCTCTTAACTTAGCCAGTGCTGTCTCGCCGGACTAATCAGCCTGGAGTTGTAGCTGAGGGATGTACCCCTCTTAGAGCTCCTTCCCGCCTGAACCACGGGAGATCCTTGGCGGTGCAGCCCCGCTTTGAGGAGGGGACGAGTCCCACGGGGACGACTGCCACCTCCGCTTCCCTCAGGAGAGCCGCTGGCCAGGGCAGCG